GGCACTATACAAATTTGCAGCCAAGGAAGGTCATATTGGGAGAATGGATTGGAGGAAAATACACCTGAAAGCAAGGAATATACTTTAGAATCAAGATAATAAACCCTAAATAGAGCTCTGGTGCCTCTGTGTAATTTAGGTCCAATATCGGGATAGGGGAAGTAGTATAAAGAAATATATAGGAAGTGACATCTGTAGGATTTGGGGACTGACTCTTTTGGGGAGAAAAGAGAATCAAAAGTAACTGATGACTCCCAGGGTTGTACTTTGGTGACTGAGTTGACGGAGGTAGGAGGAAATATACAGAAGACTGGTCAGAGAGGAGGAACAGGAGTTTTGTGTGATTGACTTTGAAGTCCCCAAAGGAAACTGAGATGAGGACTCAGTGAGAAGTCTATGCTGGAGATCATATATATATATATATATATATATATATATATATATATATAATACTCTCTCTCTATATATATATATAATACTCATAACCATATTAGATATGGTAAAAGTCATAAAAATGCTAAGTTTACCTTGGGAAAAATTACAGAATTTGAAAAGAGGAGGATCAAGGGACTCTAGACTCAAGAGACTAGGACCAAGAGACTCTAGAGGATATCACCATTTAGTATATAAGAGTGCAAAAGGAAATGCAGAAACAATGAAAACGGCATTTTGAAGGAAAATAAATGGCAGGGTAATCACAAAGGAGAAACTAAGTGGACTCCATGAAAACTAAAAACTTTTTGCTTGCAAATGGCACCATCAAGAAAGTGAAAAGATACCCCATGGATTGGGATAAAACATTTGTAAATCAGATATCTAACAAAAGAATTGCATCCAGAATGTATAAAGAAAACTTACAACCCAGAAATCACAAATAACTCAAGTAAGATGGGAAAAGAATTTGAAATATACAAATCTCCAGAAATTGTACATGAATGGCCAACAGGCACATGAAAATGTGCTCAGTATGACTAATCAGCAGATAAATACAAATCAAAGCCACAATGAGATATCACTTTACATCCCAAACAAAGGCTGTAATAATAAACTGAAAACACCAAGTGTTGGCAAAGCCATACAGAGATCAGCGTGTTCGTGTTGCCGGTAGGAATGAGCAATGGTGTGTGACAGTTTCTCAAAAACATTAATGGGTGTTATCCTATAATCCAGCAATTCCTCTCCTCGGTATATGCCCAAGGGGATAGGAAGCCGGGGTTCATGTGGGAACTTTCATGTGAACGTGCAGAGCAGCGTTAACGCAAATAGGAGAAACATGGAAACAATTCGAATAATGAATGGATAAGCATAATGTGGCACGTTCCTACGATGGAACATTACTCAGCAGTTAAAAGGATCGAAGTACTGATACATCCTGCGACATGGCTAAACCTTGAAACGGGAAAGAAACCAGTCACATAAGACCACGCAGAGTAGGATTCAATTTATATGAAGTGTCAGGAATTAGGCACATCTGTAGAGTCAGTAATTAGACTGTCAAGGATTGGGAGAAAAAGCAAAAGCAGGGGAACAGTGAGTGACTAGTGGGTATGGAGTTTCTCTTGGAGACATGAAAATGCTCTGGAGTTAGTGATTTTTTTTTTTTCTTTTTAAAAATGTCTGAGAGAGGGTATGAGCTGGGGGGATGGAGCAGGGGCAGAAGAAGAAGCAGGCTCCCCACCTAGCAGGGAGCCCCCAACTCCAGCCCTATCCCAGGACTCTATCCCAGGACTCAGGGACCAAGACCCCACCCGCAAACCCAAGACAGACAGTTGCTTGACCGACTGAGCCCCCCGGGCGTCCTGATACTGGTGATTTCATAACTTTGCTGAGTATATGAAAAAAAACACTGACTTCAAAAAAAAAAAAAAAAAAAAAAAAACCACTGACTTCCAACACTTTAAAATAGTGATGTCTTTGGTATCTCAGTGCTGTTCTTTAAAAAAATAGCTCCTCCATCTCTCAATCTCAGCATTTGATGGAAACTAGACTCTCGCTGTAACTGCACTGACTGTTGCGATTCTTCTTTTTTTTTTTTTAATCCGGACTTGGGTATAGTCATTGCAAACAACTCTTGCTGAGCTGTGTTGGGACTCCAGACAAGTGGTTTCAGCTAAGTCAAACTGCTGCCTGTGCGGCTGCCTGTTTAAAATTCATACACGGATTCTCTGAAGCCCTAAAATCAATTCTGGATTTGAGTTTTCCTGTGACAGTGTGGACAGAGTGTCACGGGTGATGGAGACTCACGCCCTTGTAATTCCCTAGGAAGAAAAGACTTCTGCTGAGCAGCAGATCTGTACTTGAATTCAGAATATAATACCTCAGTCCTCTAAACCTGCAGGAGTTTCCAAAATCTCACTCGGGCTCACCTTCCACATGTGCTTCCCTGATGCTTGCATGTCCTCCTAGGGTCTGATGTGTTTTTTTTTTTTTTTTTTTTTTCCTGCTTGCAGCAAATGCACAAAGGCCAACAATCCTTGTGGCTCTTTATTGGTAACCAGTAGAGGCACAGCGTAACTGCGAGACAGTCTAAACAAGCTTCATACGCACACTCCCTTTCTTGGTTGACAATCCGCAGTTGTCTGCTGTTTTATGTTGTACGACTATTAAGAAGAAACACATTCTAGGTTGGAGAATGTCTCTTTTCACATAGGTGTGTCAATTTTTTTTTTCCCCTCGAAAGAAATACCGTGAAGTGATACAGGCTGAATTTGGATGTTACCCACTACGTAAGTGATGGAGGGACCTTGAGCAACGTGCCTGACGACTCTGACTCTGTCACTTCAAGTGCAAAAGAGAATAGAAATCACGACTTCATTTGGTTCCTATAATTAAGACCACAGGATAACGAACACACACCTAAGCAAATGTGTGTTACAAATGTGAGTGTTATTCCTAGTATATGTGTGGTTTCTTTCTTTTTTTTTTTTTTTTTTATTACCAAGTAGTCATGGGTTTTTGTGGAGTATGTAACTCCAGTGATCACCTTCCAAACTGCTCAGGAAATCTGTTGTTAAATAATCTTGGCAGGAACAAACTGAAATACATATTTTCCTTTGGAGTCAGGGTTCTGTTTTAGCAGATCATAGTGCAATTTTTCTTTGTCAATGGCGTATAATTCACACGTGAGTTCGCTTTTATACATGCCTGGTTATACCCGTTGTGGATTCTATTGTCCAAGAGGCTGGTATCCGGTTTGCAAAAGTCATCGCTCCTCTATTTCAGTAGCCTCGGGTCTTAAGGCAATATCTGTTCTGTGTAAATGTTGTAAACTGTGGTTCCATTAAAAGCAAAAACAATCGGTGAAATTAGATGGTTAATTCTTTAAACTTGTATCCTCTTTAAGATAAAGCTCTATAACAGACATTTCCCCTACAGATCACTTCTCAAAAATTAAAGGAGAGGCCTCATCTAAATTTTGCTGTGTCTTGCCCCAGAAAAGATGGACTGTGAGCTGACCCCTCTAGCTAGGAGTTCCTGAGGCCTGCTTGACCTTTGCCCCAGGGCATCTTTGGCTCCCGCAGCTTTTATTGACATCAGCTTGGTGGTTGTCCCTGGACGACTTGCACTGGGTGTCCTGTTCCAGGCGACAGTAGGGTTTGCTTAGGATTTAAAAGAATCAAGTTCTTTGTTAAAAAAAAAAAAAAAAAAAAAAAAAGTCCAGCATGGGTTTTCACGTTACCTGGTTTCTGTAATAGGGACGATATTAATGGGTATCTCTTAGGATAGTTCTGGTGAGGATCAAGGGTAATAATGTCTGAAGAAGGGCCTTATGGGCATTTAACCCACACGCACTCCTGGAAGATGAGAAGCAAGTCCCGTTAGAAGGCCCCTGGACCTGGACCTCTCGGTGAGTGAAGTTGGCTGCTTTCCAGAATTGCTTTTACAAAAACATATTACTTTGCATTAGTTTTTATTTCCCTAGTTTTTCAAGATAGAGCTTAAACGTCGGATGTTTACTGTGGGACGTCTGGAAAATAGAGGAAAGCGAAATGACGGTGCCTGCCGCCCCGGGGACCACGCTCTGCGCTGATGACCCTGATGGCCGCGTGCTGCTTGCTGGACCCCTCAGGTCCCTTCGGGCTGGCCGCGCACCTGGGGGGGGGGAGGGGGGGAGGGGGGAGGGGGCGGTCTCCAACCCGGGCTGCCGGCCGCGCCTCTCTCTACCTCTCCGACCCCGGCCCCGCCTCTCCTCGTCCCGCGGCCGCGACTAGGGGCGCGCAGTGCAGCCGCAGCCTCCGCCGCCGCCCGCGTCCCGCTAATCCTGATGCGCCTCCAAGCAGCCCCACGCCCCCCCGTCCCGGGGCCCCCGCCCCCTCCCCCCCGTCCCGGAGCCCCCGCCCCCGCCCCCCCCCCCCCCCCCCCCGTCCCGGGCGGCGCTCCCGGGGCACCTGCCCGCCCTGCGCGGGGACCCGATCCCTGCGGGGAGGTCCGACTCCGTGGGGCGCCCTCGCTCGTGTCTGTGGGCTCCTCCCCACCCGTGCCCATGGGGTCCCCCGCCCGTGTCTGTGGGCTCCTCCCCGCCCGTGTCCGTGGGTCCCTCCCGCCCGTGTCCGTGGGGTCCCCCCGCCCGTGTCCGTGGGGTCCCCCCGCCCGTGTCCGTGGGATCTCCCCCACCCGTGTCCGTGGGTCCCCCCGCCCGTGTCCGTGGGATCTCCCCCACCCGTGTCCGTGGGTCCTCCCGCCCATGTCCGTGGGTCCACCCGCCCGTGTCCGTGGTCCCCCTCTCCTCCCCCCTCCTCTCCTCCCCTCCCTCCCTCCCCTCCCCTCTCCCGTCTCCCTCCCTCCCCTCCTCCCCCCTCCCCTCCCCTCCCTCCTCCCCGCGGGGGGCAGCCGGGGGCGGGGGCGCGGGGGCGCTGCCGGGCGCCGTCCGGGCCGGGGCGGTGGGGCGGCGGCGGCCTGCGCAGGGGCGGGCGTCCCGGGCGGGCCGCGGGTGCGGTGACATCACCGCCTGCCTCCCCGCCCGGTGCTGCCTCCGCGAGGCGCGTCGGTTGGGCCGTTTGCCCGCGTCCGCCGCCGCCAGGGCTGGTCCGGCCGAGCTCGGAGCCGGCAGCGCGGAGCGACGGGACCCGGAGGAGGAGCGAGGCGCGGGCGGGCGGCGCGGGCGGGAGCCCCCGGCGGCGGCATGAGGCTCAGCCCGGCGCACTACCTGCTGCCGCTGCTGCCGGCGCTGGTGCTCGGCGCCAGGTGAGTCCCGAGCGGGGCCCGGCCCGGCCCGACCCGGCCCGACCTGCCCCGGCCCGGCCGCCTGCGCGCCCCCCGCCCAGCCGACGGCTGCCCGGACGGTCCCCGCGGGGCCCCGAGCGCGCCGAGCCCCGGGCCGGGGGGCGGGGGGGGGGCAGGAGGGACACCTGCCGCGGGGCGCGGTCCTTACGGGGAGGGGGCGCCGGACCGCCGGGGGGGGGGCGGGGCGGGGAGCATGACCCCGCAGGACCGGGAGCCGGGCGCAAAAGTTCTGGACTTGGGCGACGGCCTGCAGGGGGCTGGGCCGGCTTCCCGGGGGCGGCGTCCGCGGCGCGGGGCCCCGGGGCGGAGGGAAGTTGGAAGCGGACCCTGCGGGAGTGGCGGGGCGGCCCGGCCGGGAAGACCCGGAGACCCCGGAGACCCCGGCTGCAGACCCTGCAGACGCTGCAGACCCCCGGCTGCAGACCCCGGGGACCCCGGCTGCACACCCCCGGCTGCAGACCGTGCAGACCCCGGGGACCCCGGCTGCACACCCCCGGCTGCAGACGCTGCAGACCCCCGGCTGCAGACCCCCGGCTGCAGACCGTGCAGACCCCCGGCTGCAGACCCCCAGCTGCAGACCGTGCAGACCCCCAGCTGCAGACCCCCGGCTGCAGACCCCCACCTGCAGACCCCCGGCTGCAGACCCCCGGCTGCAGACCCCGGGGACCCCGGCCGCGGCCGCCGCGCGGGGTGGGACGGAGGAGTCGGTGCGCCTCCGCGGTTGGTCCGGCCCGGGGTGGGCGACGGCCCCGCCCCGTCCCCCCTGCAGAGCCGCACAGAGCCGGTCTGTGTCCCGGCCCCGGGCGCCCGGGCATCCTCTTGGCAGCCACCCCCCCCCCCCGCCTTGGCCGCCCTCGAACAAAACAGCCCTCGCAGCGGGAGTCTCAGTGGATGGCAACGTTATCTGCCCGGGGGCGTCCGGCGGGGAAGGAAGACGGGAAGCCGGGGTCCCCCATTCCGAAACTGGACGGGAGAACGAACGCTCCCCGTCTGCAGAGAGAGGCGGCAGCAAGATTCCTGATTCCCTGCCTCGCCCGAGCGCGCAGCCCCCTTCACGCTCCTCCAACCAGACTTTTCCTTTTCCAGCGAGGCCTGTGATTCAGCCCCGATGGTTCAGTGAACCTGGCCCTTCCTTGAAGACAGAGCCCGGGCGACTTTCCCAGACTAAAGTGGCGTATGAGGGGTTTGCTTGTTTACTTACTTACCTACTTATCTCCCTGTTTGTGCCGAGGATCTCTTGTCACTTCGGTTCACAAAATGCAGGTGGTTCGCACCATCACTCCACTTCCCCGTGCGGGACTGACTTGTCCCGATTGCAGATCCCGCCGCAATATTCGCGGTTAACTCCAGATGGCTCCTTGCAAATTGTGCATCAGTCGTTTAAGGGTCTTGCCGTCCACCCCGAGCTCCCTTGTGTTGTAGTTTAGTGATTGTGATTTCTTGAGAAAGGAAATTCTCAAAGTTTGGACACTTAAGTGGGTGCTTGTCATCCTCTGCACAAAGGGATGGATTTTTAAACGAGAGAAACCCAGCCCACAATGATTTTTTAAAGACAGTGAAAATCTCTGGTGTTCCAAAAGTGCATTTGCTTTATAAGGATGCCATCCGTATACTTTAAGTGACTCAGGAAGCTGTACAGGCTCTAGCCTCTAAAGTTTTAGTGTTGGTTACATAATACGGAGAGCCATCATCTTCCCTTTTATGGTAGTGTCAGTTTTTTTCTTTTTTTTTTTTTTGGTAGTGTCAGTTTTTATTAGGATGACACTTTAAAATAGTCAACGCATTTGTTAGGACAACGATTAGAAGTAGTCGTTCCTAGTTTCCTTTAGACATGAGACTTCTGCAGTTTTTACAGAAGTAAAAACTTAGGTCGAGTCTTTTACATTTTCCTTCTGGCAGCTCGACCGTAAGAGCATGTTGGGCTTAAAAAAGTGAGACTTTCCGTCATCAGTGGCCCGTCTCGTTGTGATTCCTCTGTGGCAGTCTATTTTACTGGATATCCAGATTCCCCTGTGACAGCGGATGTAACAATGAATATGGTACTGCCAAATAGATCATTTTGCAAGATTCTGTTTTAATGGTTTCTAACAGAAGGCCATTGTCTTGGTGATATTTAGGATTCCTTAGAGGCATATGGTTCATGTGCAAGCTAGAACCTAAAGAGGTTTGTAAGAACAGTTGCATTAGTAGAGCTGAGCTTATTGTCCTGCTGAGAGAAGACCTGTGGCACAGCCCTGAGCACCTGTGACAGTGGGTTTTCTAGCCAAAGACTTTTTGTCAGTGTCTTAGTCAGGGGGTCTTGTGTGTGTGGAGCAAATGGCATCTCACATGCTCGGATCATGCTGAAAGCATTAGCAGAGGGTGGCAGTTACTAGATATTCTTAGAGCCTTTGGATGTTGTCATTTTTATTGTCAAGCTCTTTTCAGAGTGTGATCAATGTGGATCTGAGGCTCTTAATGCAAATATATATATATATATATATATATTTGAACATCACTTACTCTGGGCATAGCTCTTTAATTCCACACTGTTCTCGTTCCAAAGTTCAGTTTTGTTCTATAGTAAAAGAATGTGTTCACTAAAACACATGCTGCAATTAGAGAATGACAGTTATTATATAATAGTTGTCTATCCACAGGAATGAAAACCCTAAAGCAATTTTGCCTTTGAAATATGAATTTTTGGATAGCTTTCTGATTTTGCTTGCTCTTCGTCTTCATATTTTTATGACAACTTTGGATGCGGAAGCCCCCAAATTCCATGATTTTCACCGTAGTGAACAGCATTGATGCCCCTTCAATCAGAGTTACTTTGTCTGGAAAAAAAAAAAAAAAAAAACCCAAAAACTTGAGTATTCACCATCAACAATAACCAATAGTTGTTTTAATGGTAAATGCCATAGAGTCAAAAAAGAGCTATTTAATTTTCTGTATATGGCCCCTCCTGTTTAGAGAGTGCATACAAATTCAAAACGTCAAGTTAATGTTATGAATAATGAAGCTAATGCCTAAACCCATTTAACCTGTGCACAAATAAATGTGATCAAAGAAAGCAAACATATGTTGCTTTAATGGCTTTGGAGTAGAATGACTGTACTTTTTAAAGAGCTTTCTTCTGTAGAAGTATTAAATTGCCATTCCAAGGCAGCCAGCAATTCACTTCAGAAAGGAGTAGTATAGGTATTGAAAGGAATAGTAGGGTGAAAAAATCTTTAGAAGTTCTTGGTGAAAAGGGACTCATGGAGTGCTGGAGAAGGCTTGTGCTTTAGTCTGCTGAACCTCTGTTCCTTTATGCTGTGATTCTACTCTTGATGCCTTTGGTTTATTGAGTTTTAAATGACTTAATGGGGAGAGAGACATGGCAGGGGAGGAGTGAAGGTCTACCGACTTCTGGTGGTTTTCCATCAAGCAAGAGCTTTAAGCAGATGGGGGCTTCTAGTCCTCTCAATAGGAGTCACCTTCGAGGTCTCTCCTGGGCCCTCTGATCAGCAGTCATACCACATGTTTACTTTGGAATCTAATTTTAGGTGACACTATATATTGAAGATGCTCTGGGCTCCTCTTTGCTCTGAGCCTTCATCTAAACCTCAGAATTTGGTTGATGCATAGGATCAAGTAAAGACTAGAATCACAATAAAAGCACAATAAGCATCTTTTAAAAAAAAATAAGCAAATAAATGAATTTTATGTAGGGAGCGGTCTTCCTTAAGTATCTCTCCAAACTGTGATGAGGGAGTTGTGGGTTTGCTTCCCCAAGCCCAGCACAGAGTGAGTCTTGCTACACACGCTTTTGTATCGCCTTACGCCTTACGTACATTCCTTTGGGATAAGGATTGCACTCTGCTGTGTCCTCAAGCTAGAGGTAGGTCTTTTCTAGGTTAAGGAGATAGTAACGGACACATTTTTGACTTTTCAGGTTTCCAGTTCTGGACCTTAGCTGCCTATTTCCAGTAGCAATTTTTAAAATGACTTGTTTGGGGATTATCTTTGTGGATTAAGTTCCCCTCGTGACTGATGAGAGACCCCTCAAACGTTTATGATTGGGTCACGATGGTCCCAGACCAAACTGCACGTGAGTGGAAGGAGAACGTGACCTCCCCTCCAGGAAGCAAAAATTACTGGAACCACTGAGGGGCCCGTGGTTGTAACTATGCCGCGTTTTCTCAAGAGTGTCTTGAGAGCACTTGTGCGTGGCCTATGTGCTTGAGAGCCTGTTTTTGACTGATCTCTAGAGGAAGTCCCTTTAATAAATAGGGCCAAATCATTTAACCTGATTAAACCGTTATTTAATACTTTGTTCTCCGGAAAAGAAAAAAAAAATCTCCATTGAAACCTCATAACCTTTGGAAGTTGTCTTCGGTGTTTTCATTACCACACTTCTAGAAGCCTGAAATGTGTCAGGCGTCAGGACAGTAAGATATTAGCTGCAGACGTATGTCCTCATAGTCTGGTCCTGTTTGGAAATACGGTTAGGACAAAATTGGATAAATACCAACAAAATCTTAAAGTTCTAGATATGAATGGAAAAAAGAGTGAGTGATGCCAGTGCGGGGGTATTAGAAGTAACGTCCACTTTCAAGGACAATGAGAGAAGTAATATTTTGTGATGAACTTTAACATCCTCCAGCACTTGCTAACTGCGTGATGTTAGGTAAATTGTTTTTCTGTTTTTCTCATGTAGGAAGTAGGACCACTTGTAGAAACTACCTGGAAGGCAAGGACTGAATGAGTTTATTTGGGAAAAAGAGTTTGCATGTTTCTTGGAACAGAGCAAGTGATGAGGAGGGCTTAGCCTGTGCAGTTATTTTGGTCCTGTTCACAGAATTCATGTATCTGTGATTGATCGGGACATAGCAAAATAAAGGAGACTTGGATACAAGTCAAACGAGTGACAGAAAATTAACAAGAATTACAGTTTTCATCCGAAAGAAAGAAAAATACTGGCAAAGAAAAGAGGAAGC